AGGCTCCGGACGCGCAGGCTCAGCGGCCATGGCTCACGGGCCCAGCCGCTCCGCGGCATGTGGGATCCTCCCGGACCGGGGCACGAACCCGCGTCCCCTGCATCGGCAGGCAGACTCTCAACCACTGCACCACCAGGGAAGCCCCATTCTTTTTTTTATTATTGAAGTATAGTTGATTTACAATATTGTGTTAGTTTCTGGTGTACAGCAGTGATTCAGTTTTACATATATATACACATACACATATTCCTTTTCAGATTCTTTTCCATTATGGTTTATCCCAGGATACTGAATATAGTTCCCTGTGCTATACGGTAGGACCTTGTTGTTGGTCTATTTTATATATAGTAGTGTGTATCTGTTAATCCCAAACTCCTAATTTATCCCCCCCTCATCCCCCCTTACCCTTTGGTAATCATAAGTTTGTTTTCTACGTCTGTGAGACTGCCTCTGTTTACTAAACATGTTCATTTGTGTCATATTTTTAGATTCCACACATAAGAGATTTCATGCGGTATTTGTCATTCTCTGCCTGACTGACTTCACTTCATGTGATCATCTCTAGGTCCATCCAGGTCCCTGAAGATGTCTTGCCCATTTTTATACTCGGTTGTCTGGGGTTTTCATTTTCTTATTTTTGATGATTATTTATAAACATTGGTAATTATTTATAAGCTTGGGATACAAGCCCTTTGTATCGGATATCTGCACCCACCTCTGCCCCCGAGGGTGCCTTTTTACTCGCTTTATGGGGTCTCTTGTGGACAGAGGTCCTTCATTTTAATGAGGTCAAGTTTGTGGCTGTTTTCCACTATGTTTGGTACTCTTCCTCTCCCGGGTGAGAAATCTTTGCTCACCCGGAGAAAGTATTCTGCTCTGTGATCTGCCAGCAGCTTCGTGGTCTTACCTTTCTCTTTTTCACTCTACACGAACCTGGAATTGGTGTTTTGCGAGGTGTGAGGTAGGGGTCTAGGTTCAGTGTATGTTTTCCCACTGCACATATCGACTACCCCGTTTTGTGTTTTGAAGACGATCCCTTCCCCGCCCTCAGTGTTACTTGGTCATAACTGAGCGCCGTGTCCATCTGGGCTTCCTGTTTGTCTGTTCTGGGGCCAGTGCCACTTTCCTGCCAGCCTTGCCATTGGAGCTGAAGTCCCCCTTGCCTCCTTCCACAGGGTCGTCAGGCCACCCTTGGACTCAGCACATCCACTGAGACTTAAAAATCAGCTTGTCAGTTTCCTTCTGTTTTAAATAACATGCAAGGACCTTTTTTCTTTAAATTTTTACTGGAGTACAGTTGGTTTACAATGTGTTAGTTTCAGGTGTACAGCAGAGTGAATCAGTTATACGTACACATATATCCACTCTTTTTTCCCATATAGGGCATTACAGGGTATTGAGTAGAGTTCCCTGTGCTATACAGTAGGTCCTTATTAGTTATCTGTTTTATGTATAGTAGTGTGTATGTGTCAATCCCAATCTTCCAGTTTATCCCTCCCCCCCTTACCCCTGGTAACCGTAAGTTTGATTTCTGCATCTGTAACTCTGTTTCTGTTTTGTACATAAGTTCATTTGTACCCTTTTTTTAGATTCCACATATGAGTGATATCATATGATATTTGTCTTTCTCTGTCTGACTTACTTCACTCAGTATGACAATCTCTAAATCCATCCATGTTGCTGCAAGTGGCATTATTTCGTTCTCTTTTATGGCTGAGTAATGTTCCATTGTATATATATACCACATCTTCTTTATCCATTCATCTGCTGATGGACATTTAGGTTGCTTCCATGCCCTGGCTATTGTAACTAGTGCTGCAGGGAACACTGGGGTGCATGTATCTTTTTGAATTATGGTTTTCTTCAGATATATGCCCAGGAATGAGTTTGCTGGATCGTATGGTAGTTCTATTTTTAGTTTTTTAAGGAACCTCCATACTGTTCTCCAATATGGCTGTACCAGTTTACGTTCCCACCAACAGTGTAGGAGGGTTCCCTCTTCTCCACACCCTCTCCAGCACTTGCTGTTTGTAGATTTTCTGATGATGCCCATTCTAACTGGTGTGAGGTGATACCCCACTGTAGTTCTGATTTGCATTACTCTAATAATTAGTGATGTTGAGCATCTTTTCATATGCTTTTTAGCCACCTGTATGCCTTCTTTGGAGAAATGTCTGTTTAGATCTTCCACCCATTTTTCGACTGGGCTGTTTGTTTTTTTAATATTGAGCTGCATGGGCTGTTTATATATTTTGGAGATTAATCCTTTGTCTGATGATTCATTTACAAATATTTTCTCCCATTCTGAGGGTTGTCTTCTTGTTATGTTTATCGTTTCCTTTGCTGGGCAAAAGCTTTTCAGTTTAAGTAGGTCCCATTTGTTTATTTTTGTTTTTATTTTCATTACTGTAGGAGGTGGCTCAAAAAAGATCTTACGTCAAGGAGTGTTCTGCCTGTGTTTTCCTCTAAGGGTTTTATAGTATCTGGCATTACATTTAGGTCTTTAATCCATTTTGAGTTTATTTTTGTGTATGGTGTTAGAGAGTTTTCTACTTTCATTCTTTTACGTGTAGCTGTCCAGTTTTCCCAGCACCCCTTATTGAAGAGGCTGTCTTTTCTCCATTGCATATTCTTGACTCCTCTGCCATAGATTAGGTGACCATGGGTGCGTGGGTTTTTCTCTGCACTTTCAATCCTGTTCCATTGATCTATAATTCTGTTTTTGTGCCAGTACCATACTGTCTTGATTACTGTAGCTTTGTGGTATAGTCTGAAGTCAGGGAGCCTGATTCCTCCACCTCCGTTTTTCTTTCTCAAGGTTGCTTTGGCTCTTTGGGGTCTTTTGTGTTTCCATACAAATTGTGAAATTTTTTGTTCTAGTTCTGTGAAAAATGCCATTGGTAATTTGATAGGGATTGCATTGAATCTGTAGATTGCTTTGGGTAGTATAATCATTTTCACAATATTGATTCTTCCAATCCAAGAACATGTTGTATCTGTCCATCTGTTTGTGTCGTCTTTGATTTCTTTCATCAGCATCTTATAGTTTTCTGAATACAGGTCTTTTGCCTCCTTATCCCTAGGTACTTTATTCTTTTAGATGTGATGGTAAATGGGATTGTTTCCTTGATTTCTCTTTCTGATCTTTCATTGTTGGTGTATAGGAATGCAAGAGATTTCGGTATATTTATTTTGTATCCTGCAACTTTGCCAAATTCATTGATGAGCTCTAGTAGTTTTCTGGTGGCATCTTTAGGATTCTCTATGTATAGGATCATGTCACCTGCAAACAGTGACAGTTTTATTTCTTCTTTTCCAATTTTTATTTCCTTTTCTTCTCTGATTGCCGTGGTGAGGACTTCCAAGACTCTGTTGAATCATAGTGGCGAGAGTGGGCATCCTTGTCGCCTTCCTGATCTTAGAGGAAGTGCTCTCAGCTTTTCAGCGTTGAGTATGATGTTTGCTGTGGGTTTCTCATATATGGCCTTTATTATGTTGAGGTAGTTTCCCTCTATAACCCGCAAACACTTTTAAAGGCTATTATAACACCAAAACAGAAGGCAGAATGAGGAAGGGCCTGATCAGAGAGTAAAGAAGAGCCTTTAAGCAGAACAGTGGCACCACGGGAAAGACTCGCTCCTTCCTCCTCTGTCCTTGGTGACAGATGGCATCAGGGTGGCTGAGCGTCCACGGCTCTGATGGCCCGCCCCGCCCCCCGTGTCTGTGTGTCCACGGCTCCTGTCGGCGCTGGGAGCTCAGCAGGGTGAGACGGAGACACCCCAGTGGTCATGCCAGAGGTCTCCCCAGGGTGGACCCTGCCCTGTCCCTTGGGCCAGCGTGGCCCGGCCCTACTGCCATGAGGACTGGCCATCCCCTCCGTCCTCCCAGCCTCCTCCAGGCTCTGCCTGCTGCTGACCCGGTAGTAGATCCTGCAGCTGCGACCACTCACACCTGAGCCCCATCCCGGGATGCCAGGGCCTCTTGCTGCTCTGCTGGCCGGTCAGGCCTCCTGCTGCTTCCAAGGATGTGAGCAACAGCCCAGGGCCTCTGAGCCCAGGTCCTGTCTGAGCAGGAAGGAGGAGCCTGTCGTGCCTCCTGCCGGGGAGGTTCGTGGCAACAGCCGTCAAGAGAGCCCTTCGGGGCCTGGAGAATGGCGGTGCTGCCGCCACGCCAAGAGCTGCACGTCACTTGGACGGGGTAAGCGTGCCCGACGCTGCGACAGCATTCTCTGTTTCGCCTCCTTGCAGGAAACCGAACGCGGGTGTGGATCCTCCCTGCTGTGATTGTGGGGATTGCGGTGATTGTGGGCCTTTCCATCGCCGCGGCCATCATCACTCGCCGCTATAGAAGAAGAGGTAAAGCAGAGTCACGTTGATCCTTGAGGAAACCAGGTCAGCAAGGGCACCAGGAGCTCAGAAGTGGGGACCTGGGGTCAGTGGCTCCTGACGGGAGCCTGTCGTTTGAACACAGCTCTGCTCACTTTCCATCTCGGGGGCCCTGCATGTGTCTGGGCTCGGAGCCGCCCGCGGCGTGCTCCCCGATGTGCAGGGCTTGAGACCAAAATTGCAGGGCAGCTGCTGGGGACAGGCGTCCAGGGCACCGGGGGCCGGGAAGCCAGGAGAGACGGGTGCAGCTCCAGCCAGGGGGTCTTGGAGGAGGCGGTCCCTGGGTGCTGGGGAAGCTTACCAAGTAAGTGCCCCTCCTGTGTTTTCCCAGCTGCGTGGTTTTTCCAGTCGGTTGTGGTTTTGGGAAACATAAGTCCACTTTCTTGACTGTGAATTCGAGGCATTTCCTCTCCTCACAGAAGTCGCTGTAATAGTTAACATCAATTGTTTTCTGTTCTCTCTCTTCTTTTTGATTTGCAGAAAATCCAAAGGAGCCAGGCAGCCCTGTAAGTATCAGCCTGGGATTTGTCCAGTGAAGCCCCAGGAGGTGGAGGGGTGGGGGACAGCCCCAGGCCTTCCCCGCTGCGTCCACATTTAGCCTGTGCAGTGGTGTCTGCGCCCACCTTAGCAGAGCCCTGGGACATCTGTGCTGGAAGATTTAAATTCTGCTGAGGCACAGGGGACAAAAGGCTTTCTTTGGTGTCCCAGGGCTGCTGAGACAGATCCCCATAGACGGGGGGCTTCAAACATTACGAGCTTACTGTCCCACAGTTCTGGAGGCCAGAGATCCGAAATCAAGGGGTTGGCGGGTTTGGTCCCCTCGGGGCTCTAGGGGCAGGTGCTTCCTCGCTTCCCCTGGTTGGGGCTGGACGTGCTTGGCGCTCCTTGGCTTTTGGGCGCGTCACTCCGATTTCTGCTGTCTTCACACAGCCTCTCCCCGTGTGTCTCTGAATCTCTCTCCTTTTAAGGGCACTGGTCATAGGATACCGGTCCCACCCTTATCCAGTATGACCTCGGCTGAAGAGACCCTATTTCTAAATAGGTCCCATCCACAAGTACTGTGGATTAGGATGTGGGTCTCTCCTTGGGTGCCCACCATTCAACCCACCACAGGCTTCTCTTGGGATCCCCCGAGGAGTCGGTGGCAGAGCAGGGACCTGACCCCGTGCAGTGTTCCTCTCGAAAACTGCACAGGCCTTGCTTACCTATCAGACAGTTGGCATTTCTTTCCCTGAAAGTGGCTTGGGAAGGGCCTGTCCTGCAGGCTCCTGTCAGCAGAAGAAATGACTTGGTTCTTTAGTCGCCTAGAAGCAGCCAGCCCAAGGAGATGCAGATGCCCATGGACCTTGAGAGGGGCCAACCAGCCCCTGGTGTGGAGACCAGGTCGATGTTGGAGGTAGAGGACTCAGCCCTGGAGCCCGAGGCCAGGACTCACCCAGGACCCTCCAAGGACGCTGGGGAAATCCTTGGGCTACAGGAGCTGGGGGCCAAAGGAAGTCCAGCAGCCCCAGAGCAGACACTACAACAGACTCAAGCTCCCGAGGCCCTCAGGCCCCCAGGCCAAGCAGAGGTGTCCCCTCCCCTCCACAGCCTGGAGCAGGTAAGTGGACCGTTGGGAGGGTCTGATGACCAAGCCCCTGCTCGCTGAGTGCTGAGTGCAGGGCTGTGTGTGGCGCTCTTGCAGAGTTCTTGTCTGAGTTTCCTGAGGCTGATATAACAAAGTCTCACAGCCCAGGGGTAGGGAGGAGGGTGTTTAAACATCAGACTTTTATCGTCTCATGGTTCTGGAGGCTGGAAGTTGGAGATCAAGGTGTCGGCAGGGTCACTTCCCGCCGAGGGCTGTGAGGGAGAAGCTGGTCCAGGCCTCTCCCAGCTTCTGGTGGTTTCCGGCAATCTGAGGTCCCTTGGCTTGAAGCAGCATCCCCCCATCTCTGCCTTCATCTTCACGTGGCCTCCTCCCTGTGCATGAGTCCCTCTCCAAATTCCCCCTTTTTATAAGGACCCCAGTCATATTGGATTAGAGCCCACCCTAGCGACCTCATCTTAACTTGATCGTGAGCAACAATGCTGTTTCCAAATACGGTCACAGTCACAGGTACTGGGAGGACTTCAGAACCCTTGCGGGGACACAGTTCAACCCATAACCTTCCCCCACCCTACCTGCTGTCTGCGGGTGTAGCAGGGAAGAGCCAATTCTGGCTCCACGTTGCATCTGCTTCTTTGACTTTAGCCTTCGCTTTTCATTGCTTTTGTTACTATAATCATCGATAACGGCCTGCCTCGGGGAACCCTGCCCCCCTCTGCCCGAATGTTAAACTAAAGTGCCTCTGTTCAGCTCACAGGGAGACAATCTGACCCTGCCCACCTGTGAATGGCTGCAAGAAAGAAGAAATTCATGCATCCCCTCCTCAATTCCAGGAGATGATTTGAAAGACCAACGGCCCTCTTTACTTTACTTCCCCCCGCCTCTCCCTCTCTATTCTGCCTTTTTACTTTACTTCCCTGATTCTATAGAAGAAAATGGCACCCAGACTCCGATAAGGTGGTTATTTTGAGACATAAGTCTGCCATCTTCTCGGTCTGCCGGCTTTCCGAATAAAGTATTCCTTGTCTCAACACCTCATGTCTGACTTATTGGCCTGTGTGCGGTGAGCAGCACGAGCTTGGACTCGGTAACCAGGGGACCATGGCACCCGGGGGGGGGCAGAGGCTCAGCGTGTGTCCTCGCTGGGCCCCAGGGCTGGGAAGCAGCAGGACCGACGAGGCACAGCCCGCTGGTGCTGGACCTGAAGCCTCCTGTGCTGTCAGCAGAGCTGGGCCAAGCACCCCCTGGGTGCCGGGCTTGGCATCTGGAGAACACGGGGCTGCAGGGGCAGGGTGTGGGATGGATCCCGAGATGGGTGGGATTGTCCCCGGTGGACCGTGTCCAGCCGTGCACAGCAGGAAGCGACGGTTCCTATCCTCCGCTGGGGGGCTGCTGGGGGCTTTCCCGAGTGGGTGACACCTGAATGGGGTTTGACAAATGATCAGACACCCACTAAGTGGCCCTGCGGGGGAGGGCCAGGGTTGCTGAGTGATGAGCAACCCTAAGGCAGGGCAAGGTCAGGGGCTGAAGAAAGGGGAGACTGGGAGGAGATCATGGACCCCTGGGCCACCCTCGCACAGACACGGGGCTTGAGAAGTCCAGAGACTGTAGGTTCCATGGGTCGTGTGCCATTATGCATCATTTCAGGGAGCCGGCCTGTGACTTTTGTCGGATTCTCCAGGGCTCCTGAGACGAATAAAATGCAGAAGTTGGGGCCCCTGCCGAGGGTCAGGTCAGGGTGACATGCTGGTCCCTGGGTGTCCCTCTGGGGCTGTGCTGTAACAGGGCAGCTGTTCTTACCCTTTTTACCAGCCATGGGACAGAGCGGTGAGTCCTTGCCGGCCGTGGGCAGAGGCAGAGCTGAGATTTGAACCACGTGGTCAGGCTCCTGGCCTCAGGCCCGGGCATCTCAAGGAACGCCTGGCCTCATCCAGGGAGAAGCCCGTGCTCGTGGCAGCTCCTTCAGACGGGTGGTCAGCTTTCATCTGTCTGGTGTCCCGTCCACGCTCGGACTTCCCTGAACTAGGAGGCTGTGTGGATAAGTCCCTAATATTTGTCCACAGTGCATGTCTGTAGACCTGTGTCCTCTCCATTGTCTTATCCAGAGAGCAGGTCACCGACAGGTGACATCGTTCAGCTGTTACCCGCACCCCCCGGGGGGGGAAGGAGCAGGGCCTGGGTCTGGGAAGAGTCAGGAGCACGTGCAGAGCATCAGGGACCCCCGCCCGCCCAAGCAGGGGCAGCCGTGACGGCACGGTGTCACCCGCACGCCCAGGCCGTGTCCTGGGGGAGCGTGACCCAGAGGACACGCTGGGCTGTGAGCTCTCTGCTACCCGTGGGGGGATGGAGTGGGGGTGACTCCCCACGGGCTGACTCAGGGGTCTTATCATGTTGATAGAGGCCCACCGGCCCCCACCCACAGCTCCCACAAGAAACCAGGTTCTGGTTCTATTTCCGTAGAATTCCTCTAAGAGGCCACACAGGTTTCTGCTCCTGGAACCATTTTATTCTCTTCTCTCTGCAGGAATATGAACAAAAGTAGTTTTTGAAGGACGTTTCCCGCGTTGGTAAGTAGTCTAAATTCTTCATTTTCTTTTTTTATTTGTGAACATTTTTTTTGGTTTTTTTTAACACATTTTTCTCGTTTACTTGTTTAGGCTACATCTTCCTTGTTGGGACTTCCCTGATAGTCCAGTGGCTCCCAAAGCAGGGGGCCTGGGTTCGATCCCTTACTGGGGAAATAGATCCCACATGCCACAACTAAAGATCTCGCATGCTGCAACAGAGATCCCGTGTGCCGCAACTAAGACCTGGTGCGGCCAAATAAATAAATATATGTTTCTTAAAAGTCTTCCTTCTTTGACATGAATGCTAAGGCCTAACGTCTTTATTTTTGAGACGGGGGACCACCTGCCTACCCGAAGCTTAGGGAACTTGCCTGTGGACTTGAGATCCACTTTTTCACATTCACCAATGACAGTAGAGAAACAGATATTTGCCAGATATAAGTTTTGTGGGGTTCATAAAGAAGGATTGGATGTTGTTTTTATTTTATTATACATTCTTGTTTTTAAGAGAAAGTATGAGTGGGTGATGGGAATACTTATCTAACCCTAGATCAGTGGGTCCCCATGGCTGGGATGCTACGGGCTTAGGGGCAAAAAAGGCAAGATTTATCGAGCACGTGCTGCCTGCCAGGTGCTTTTTATAATCTTATTCTAACAGCTCTGGGAGACTGCCCCATTTTATAGATTTAAAACACGACAATCCGAAGCTCAGAGAGGCTACAAAACTTGCCCCAGCTCTCAAGGCCTAACCTGGTCCCCCCGCTGACGCCAGGAGGCCTACCCGTCCGGAGCACCTCACAGCCCATGGCTGCGTGGCATGTGAGAGGGGCAGGGCAGGGCGGACGTCAGCAGATGCTTTATCCACAGGGCTTCTGACTTGCCTGGGGTTCCTTCTCCCAGGTTCATCGGCACCAGTAATGAATGAGCAACAGACGTGTCAAGAGACACAGCAGGTCATGGCCAGACCTTGGCCTCCTGGCCCCTGGGCCTGATTCCTTCTGTGGGATCATCTGGGCTGGCGCAGGGCTTCCCAGGTCGTGGGCTCAGGGCAGGTGGAAGCACCTCTAGGGCCACACTCCTGGGAGCCGAGTTACAGAGGATGCTCCACGGGCCTCCCAGGAATGTAAACAAACTCTCCCTTTTTGCTTTTATTTTTTTCATCCATCAATAAGATCTATTGTGAATTCAGACATGAGGTTCCAGAAAGTAACTGGAAGATGTTATGGGGTTTACTGGACTTGAAGAAAATGATGAGATATGGGAACCCCAACATCCAGGAGATTTGGAAGAGCTCCTCAGGCGGAGGAATGGGCTAGGGAGGGACATTTCTGTATTTAACTCATGGCTGCCCTCCATAACACGGAGCTACAGATATGTTCGCAAATTATAAACAAATTGCTTGCAGAAGGTATCTTAGGTAGGCATGCAGAGAGCTCCCAATAAACTCTTTTCTGACACAGGGCTGTTACTTTACGCAGTGTCCTGGGTGGGTAGGGTCTGAGCTTCTTTTTTTTTCTTTGCGGTACGTGGGTCTCTCCCGTTGTGGAGTACAGGCTCCGGACGCGCAGGCCCAGCGGCCATGGCTCACGGGCCCAGCCGCTCCGCAGCATGTGGGATCTTCCCGGACCGGGGCACGAACCTGTGTCCCCTGCATCGGCAGGCGGACTCTCAGCCACTGCGCCACCAGGGAAGCCCAGATCTGAACTTCTTTTCCAGTTCTGATCCCACCAGAAACTTCATGAATCCCAGATGGAACTGCGGTCCTTATCCAAATGGATTCTGTATAAACTTCCAATGGGGACAACAGCTCTGCCCACAAGCAAAGGTGCTTCTCTGTCAGGGGCACTGCCTGTGGCCAGTGTGGCAGAGATGGGATCCCAGGGGACTGCTGATTGCACTGGATGGGCTCACGTTCCTCGGAGCATTTCCCTAGGCTCTGCGGCCAGGAGAGTTTGGTGGTTGTCCTTCTGCCCCCACCAACTCCTTGATCTCAGAGTCACCATGACGTCTGCATGACCTGGGACAGGGCGTGGCATTGAGCAGGTGCTCCATGAATAGGCACAAGGAAGTTGGTGACAGGCAACCCACAGGCCACTCTGAGTAGTCAGAGACGCTGGTCCATACCTGGCCCTGGGACGAGACTATCCCTATCAAAAATGGGCAGAAGGCTCTGCTCAGTATTCTGTGATAACCTCTATGGGAAAAGAATCTGAAAAAGAATGCTTATATGTATATGTATAACTGCATCACTTAGCTGTATACCTGAAACGAACACAGCGTTGTATATCAACTACACTCCAATATAAAAAATAAATTAAATTTTTTAAACTGGGCAGAAGAAACAACAAAACAAAGCAAAAAATGGGCAGAAGACCTAAACAGACATTTCTCCAAAGAATACAAACAGATGGCCAATAGGCACAGGGAAAGATGCTCAACATCACTAATTATCAGAGAAATGCAAATCAGAACTACAACGACGTATCACCTCCCACCGGTCAGAATGGTCGTCATCAAGAAGTCTACAAATAACAAATGCTTGAGAGGGTGTAGATAAAAGGCAATCCTCTTACACTGTTGGTGAGAATGTAAATTGATGCAGCCACTATGGAGAATAGTATGGAGGTTCCTTAAGAAACTAAAAATAGAGTTACCATATGATCCAGCAATCCCACTCCTGGGCATACATCTGGAGAAAACTCTAATTCCAAAAGATACATGCACCCCAATGTTCACAGCAGCACTATTCACAATAGCCAAGACATGGAAGCAACCTAAGTGTCCATCGACAGAGGAACGAACAAAGAAGATGTGGTATACATACAATGGAATATTAACTCAGCCATAAAGAAGAATGCCATTTGCAGCTACGTGGATGGACCTAGAGATTGTCATACTGAGTGAAGTAAGACAGAGAAAGAGAAATATCATATGATATCGCTCATATGTGCTGTCTAAAATATAATAGAAATGAACTTATTTACAAGACGGAAACAGACCCACAGACACAGAGAACAAACTTGTGGTTGGCAAAGGGGAAAGAGGGGAGGGATCAATTAGGAGTATGGGATTAACAGATACACACCACTATATATAAAATAGATAAACAAGGGCCTACTCTATAGCACAGGGAGCTATATTCAGTATCCTGTAATAACCTATAATGGAAAAGAATCTGAAAAAGAATATATGTATGTATGTATAATTGAATCACTTTTCTGTACACCTGAAACTAACACAAAGTTGTAAATCGACTATACTTCAATTAAAAGAAAAACAAAAAAAAACCCCTAAGACTATCCCTCTGCTCTTGTATCTGAGGATCAGATTGGAATGTGACCAGCTTTAGGCCCCAGCTTCCTAAACCAGAACTAGCCAGGGTGGGGCATGGTGACAATCACAGAGACCTTTTTTAAGTACCTGAAACTATTTTTTTAAGGAATGGATATCATTATAAACTTTTTGAGATAATCATAGATTTACATGCAGCTGGAAGAAATAACATGGAGAGATCTCCTCACCCTTCACCCAGTTTCCTAAAATGCTAACATTTTGCACAATTATGGTACAATATTAAAGCCGGGATAATGACACTGACACAGTGAATATACCCAACCTTTCCATCATCACAAGGACCACTCATGTTGCCCTTTTTTTTTAATGTTGCATCTTTTTTTTTTAACTTTATTTTATATTGGAGTACAGTTGATTGACAATGTTGTGTTTGTTTCAGGTGTAGCCGCATCCACCTTCTTCCCGCATTAACTTCTGGTATTCACTTGTCTTTATTTCTATGATTTTTGCCATTTCAAAATGTCAAATAACTAGAATCACACGGTATGTAATGTTATGAGATTTTTTTCTTTGCATTTAGCATAATTCTTTAGAAAAGTAGCTTAAACTGTTAAAGTTTTAATGCCAAAGATACGCTTTTGCCAAAAATTTGTACAATTTAGCAATACTTGCTTTTATACTTTTTCTTTACCTAATAAAATTTCCATCCTAAGTGTTTCTTTTCATTCCGTGTGTGTGCAGAAGCTTGAGTGTGATGTCCTTGGGAGATGGTATCTTACACAGGGGAAGGCACAGGCCCTGAGGATGTGATCTGTGGGCTAAGGGACTCTAGAATGGGGATTAAACGCCAGAGAAGCCTCTTCTCCTCGTTTGTGTTATTCCCCCCGGGGCCTCTGTCTCTGGGAATGACAACCCTGTCCATACAGAGTGTGTGCTCCACCCTGCCCCCCTTTCTCACTCACCCCAAACATCATCAGTCCTTGGAAATGCTGACAAACCAGCTGCTTTCTTCCACCCAGCACCAAGTGTCTTCAAGTTCATCATTAAAGGAAATGCCATAACCACCAGTCTCTCTCAGGACTGAAACGTGGGTGTCATCCCCGGCCCTCACCTCGCTCACCCGCCCCACCCCATCCCAGCATCTGCTGCCCCTCATGCCTCTCCCAGATCTGCCTGCTCACCCTGCTGGTCCAGGGCACCGTCTCCTCTCCTACAGACTATCGAAAAGGCTTCCTGCCAAGTCTTGCTTTCCTCCTGGCTTTCCCTAATCCACTCCACCGCCACACAGCAGAGAGGTCTACAGCACAAATCCAGTCAAGCCTGCTGGGTCTCCGCCATTCCTGACTTTGCTTACAAGATGCTTCAAGAAGCGCCAGCCCTAGCCTTTGCCCCAGGCCCCAACTCTCGCCAGGGCTGCTCCAGCCTGCCCTGCGGTCAGGCTGAATTTCTCAGTGGCATGCTCTCTGTTGGTATCACTTGCAGGACAGTACCCTCTGCATGGAATGCACTTCCCACCCATTCCCAATCCCCTCCTCTAAGCCTCCTTCCAACTGGTCCTCCCTCCCCGGACCCTGGGAGACAATTTTTCCACGGAAGTGGGTGGGTGGGCGGATGGTTCAGGCGGTAATGCGAGAGATGGGGAGCGGCAGATGAAGCTTCGCCCTCCCGCCTCTCACTTCCTGCTGTGCGGCCCGGTTCCTAACAGGCCGCGGACCGCTACCGGTCCGCAACCCGGGAGCTGGGAACCCCTGCTCAAGGGCACTGGCCGCAGCGCAGTAGGAACTACAACTCCCAGCATGCCCCGGCCTGCGGCGTCTCGAGCCCGCGGCGGTTGCCTAGCGACTGGGCGTGTCCCGGAAGGCGCACCGCCTCCGGCGGGACTTCCGGGGCGGTGGTTGCGTCAGATTCTGGGAAGCTGTCGGCGCGGCCGCGAGTGCGGCATTCCAACGATGGCAGGTTCCTCCGCGGAGCACGGTGAGTGCGCGCGGCGGGCGGGCCAGCGGGGGCGACCCCGGGCCGAGGGGCGGAGGGGCCACCGGGGATCTGAGGGGGCGCCAGGTCCCTGAGGGGCGGGTCTGAGGGCGCGCAGAGGGCGGGGCGCGACCCCCGGGCGCCCCCGGCAGGCCCCGCTCCTCCAACCTCGCGGGGACCCGACTCCGGACCCGGAACTGCCGAGGCCACCCCGTCCCCAGACTCGGTCCCCTCCTTGGGTCCTCCAGGTTCCATTGCGCCTTGACCCCAGGACGTGGCCCTGCGTTTCCCCCGCCGGTCCCTGGGCCGGACCTCGCCCCTCCTGTCCCCTGGACTTTGGGGGACAGGCACAGCCCTAGGGTGGTTTTCGTTTCCGCCCAGCCCGGGCAGCACCCGGGTTGGCACTTAGGAAAATGAGGCCGAGGAAACAGGGTACGCGGACATACAGGAAAGGGCTTGGGGTTTTACGAAGGCTTTCATCTGCGGCTGCAGACAGTGGCCATTGGGACCTGCGTGGTCACAGCGTTATTGCCGCCTCCGAGGTTCCGTGAGCAGCGCTGGATCTGCCCACCAGAGTCACTCGTGTCGCCAGCCGGTAGACACGCCGCCCACAGGCAGACTCCAGGGAGCGCTGGGCCCTTGCTCCCCTCCCTCAGGCGAGATTGTAGGTGCCAGACAGACCGGAGGTTGTCCCTGGATTCCCTCGTCTGGAGCAGACTTTCTTCAGGAAGAACTCTGAGTGTGTAGTATTTATTCCCCGGGCTGCCGGGTTTAGGCTGTGCAGGCTTCCTGGAGCCCTGTGATCCCTCTTGCTCCTGGGGTTCCAGGCGGGAGCTCTGACCACCTGGGTAACCCAGTGACGTGGGCGGCCCCTGCTGACAGGGCTGCTGTGGTACCCACCTTCCGGGCGCCCCGCATTCCACCCGACAGGTGCGCCTGGATTCCAGCGCCATCTCTACCCACCTGGAGCCTCGGCCCTCGGCCCTCAGAAGTGCACCCGGACTCCTGTAACATAGCAGCGTGGTTGACACCCCAGTCTTCTGAGCGAGCCGGGCTGGGGGCCCACCTCTGCCTCTTCCTCACGTGCAGCAGGGTAACACGTCCCCGCTCGGAGGATGTAGTGGGCATTAAAGGGGCTGGTAGAGGTTAAGGGTTGAGAAGAACACTTGGCATGAAATGGGGGCTGTGTCCGGGTTGAGAGCCCGAGCTTGTTTCTTTTCTGTCTTCCTTCCTTCTTTCCTTCCTTCTTCATTTGTGAACACAACTGACGTATTTGATTTTGGGGTTTTGGTTTTTTAATCGCTTCGGAACTTGAGGTTTCCAGAGCCTTGGTAAGAACTGGCCTGTTTCTGGAGATTGATACCAGAGTTCTAGACATTCTTGGTTTCCGGGTTCTGAATGCTTTTCATTCTCAAGGTTGGATTTATCGAAAGTGACCATCTTTCCGGACTTTTTAAGGAGACCCTCGTCTAGAATATTCTTCCCATTTCTGGTCATCTTCCTTAAGTTGGCTCAGAATGTCCATTTGGTTCCCTGCCACTGGGGTTAAAGCTTTTCCTTTGTAGCTTGAACGTGCAGCCTGTTCCAGGGCCCAGTGTTTTTAGAAAGACGAGTCTCATCCCTGAGGACCCCGGGGTGGATGGAGCGCATGTCAGAGGCTTTGCCCTGCAGATCGGGCCACTTTGGTGGCTGTGTGTTAGGTCAGATTTGCAGTTTAATTTTTTATGCAGTTTAATTCAAAGGTTCTTCGTAATAACAATGCAGCTAGCTTTTTTTCTTAGCATGAGTCTGTGCTAAATGCATCTGCGGGGGGCCTGTAATCCTCAGAGCAGCCCTTTGTGGTAGATACTGCCCTTATCTTCCTGTGCAGGCGAGAATCCTGAGGTTCAGAGAAGCTAAGTGATTTGTCCAAGGTCACACAGCTAGCCAGGGCCTGTGTGACTGCAGCAGGGATGTTGACTACGCTGCCTTGCTGCCTTTGATGACTCTATTCAGATGAACAGCAAGCACCCCAATTCCAGAGGGCGTCAAGGCAGACAAGAGGAGGGAGCTGATACACTTTCCTGTGTTTCCCAGAGAAGAAATGAAACGTATATATTTGTAGACTGCAGACATTTGCTCATCCCCGAACCCACAGTCTCCTGGTATTTACACCGTAAGAGTTGTGAGAGATAGTGTCCTCGGGGGGAGATTAAACCGTTCCCAGTGTCCACACTGCTGTCCCCGGGCAGTGGTGCCGTCTGATCACCTGCGTGTCCTCAGGGCATCAGGTCACGATGGTCCTCATGACCTAAAAATCCCACGTGAAAGATTCACATGTGCTGTTTCTGTGGGAAATTGCCCGAGTGGTTCAAAATATTTTCCTTAAATAGATCTGTCACTTTATTTATTCAGTAGATCTGCTTCAGGCACCGGCTCTGCCGGACGCTGCTGGGCGTGGAGATGCAGCATGCCTGGAGGAGCGTCTCAGCCTTCCTGGGCCTTCCGTCCAGCGGGGCAGGGTGGCTGGAGCCCAGAAGCCCAACGCCTCCCCAGGTTGCATGGGCCATTCCTCTCTTGGTCACTCCCCAGTGCGTGTGCTGCCGGGTGGCCTGAGTCTGCGGAGGTGGTTCAGGGCCCACAGTCTGCCAGAAACTTGGCCGGGTCCTCCTCTGCCAGCTGCCCCGTGGGCAGGGCGGAGTGCAGGGAATCACGCCGGAGGCCCTGCTGGGCCAGGTCCGACGCTGCTGTGGGCATTAGCCTACTGGCCAAGCCCAGCCCCGGAGCCCCGAGACAGAGAGCCTGGGTCTGGGGAGCACCCTGTGCTCTGCTCCTGAGGGAGGGCCTGGCTGCAGGGCAGGTAGGGAGCCTCCCGAGAGAGGCTGGAAGCTGATCCTAGAGAAAAAAGGGGAGCAGGAGTCCTGGCAGAGAGCACCTCGTGCACTAAGACCTGAGGGCCAGCAGCACTGCTTTCCGGCAAGTTCCTGAGGCCAGAGGGGGGAGGGGGCTGGAGATGGGCCACAGGACCAGGTCTGCAAGGGCCTTGCGCACATTTGCGGAATTTGGGTCTTGTCTTTGCGTTCTGGCAAGATATCTGCCCCCTCCCCCGCATGTACCAAGGCAGGGAGAGCAGGAAGAACCCAAGACGGTGGTAACCGGCGGCCTGGGCCCGTGGCGGTGGTGGGTGTGAGAAGTGGACAGTCTGGGGAGGACCGGGGCAGGTGCTGGGTTTGCTGTGGGATGAAAGAAACAGCCACCCAGCTTCAGACCCAGTGGGGAAGGTGGCTGTACTGTTCCCGGACTTGTCCCCAGTTGGAGGGCGAGACATGATGCTTGGGAGCACCCTGTGGACCCGTGACCGCTGGGCCTCCAGGGCTGGTGCTCAGGACGGAAGGGGGCGCTAGAGAGGGCCTGTGGGAGGAGGTCCTGGGTGCCGGGAGTGGGTGGCATTGCCGCCAGGTGCATGCACCTCTCTCCTTTATGAGATTCGTGTGAGGAGGGGATGCATTCGTTTGAGAAGGCTTTTCCAGTCCCCGTTCTGAGAGCCACCTGGGCAGGCTGGGAAGCCCCACAGGAAAGAAAAGTGGGCCTGAAGAGGGACCCAGGGGGAGGGGCAGCTGCAGAGGCGGGCCAGGGAAGCTGGAGGAGCCTTTGCAGAAAGGATCTGATGCACAGGGCCGGGTGCCGCCGGGGCCTTGCAAGGTGTGGACCCGAGAGGCCTTCAGCAAGTGCGGGAGGGGTGCAGACCCCCGCTGCGCTGGGCCTGGGAGCTTAGGAGGAAGGCAGACCTGCGGTGAAGGGGCCTGCGCTTCAGCAAGCCGCCTGGGGGCTCCTGGCAGCTGAGCTCTGCACCCGCCCCACCCAGGTTCCGATTCCAAAGGTCTCAGGTGGGCCTGGAATGGGTGCTTCCAGGAGCTGGCCCTGCTGCCACTGCGCTGGAGCCTCACTGAGCGGGAGCCTGGCTGGAGCGGAGGAGGGGGTGGGAGAAAGCAGGCCGCGGACTGTTGTCCAGCAGGTGTGAATGCTGATGGGAAGGGGCCAGGGGAGGTGACGGCTTGGTGTGAATTTGGTTCCTTAGCTGGTTCTTGCGTTTGTGCGAGTTCAGTAAGCGTCTTCTAAACTGTGAAGACCACGGTCCACGTTTAGGGCCTTCCCACAGTCAGAAGGTGTGTGTCCTGCGATGCATTTCTGGATGGACCTGCGGTGGACCTGGCGGTGGGTGTGGCGCGTGCGTGGGGCTCCCTGGGGAGGGCCAGTGTGGCCAGTGGGCGCCCTGCTCGGGAACCATCTCCGTTCATCTTGGCATCGTGGGCTGATAGCCAGACCGCAGTCTGGCCCAAACCCAGGGCCACTTGAAAGCTGACCAATTTTTAAATTTGTTTCCTCAAGTTACGCTTAGCCACAGCTGCCACGGTGACCCCATGACTGCCCCCCTCTGCCCTGCGGGCTCCCTGCTCCAGACGGGGCTTTTTAAATGCGTGTGTGACCCCTGGGTAAACGCCTCCAGGCAGTTTCAATAGTAGTAACACAGGAGCGATTAAAATAAGAGTAATGGCAACTGCCGGGCGCCGGCTGTGTGCCCGGCATATTTCAAACAGTTTACAAGTGTGATTTCACTAACGCTCACCAGCTTTACCAGGCGTGTGTTGTGTGAGCCTGATTTACCCTTGAGAGGAGCCCGCCGGGTGAGGGAGGGGTGCAGACCCCGCTGAGCCCTTGTCCCCTGAACTGCTTCATTAGTGCTTTAAAGCCATCGTGTTGGTAGAATGGTTGACATGTTTTTCTCATTGTAAAAATAACATATGCTTATTGTAGAAAATGTGGGCAGCGAAGAAAAGAGAGGGAAATACAATGCCCTGTGAGCGTACTCCTCCAGGGTAGCCAACGTCAAGGTCAGGCAAGTTCCCGGGGGTCTGTGTTCCCTGGAGTAGTTCCGGAGTGAGGGAAGTCTGTCTGTCCAGTGCTGTCCTGGGGGTAAAGGGGCAGGGGGAGCTGGGAGACCACACAGCTTCTCAGAGAGGGGCTTCCTTCCCCTCCCTCCTGTGTCCTGGCATAGATGGCTGCACCAGAGGGATGCTCGGAGACGGGGAGAGGGAGCTTGGAGGGTCGGTGTCGGGTGACCGGCTGCCGAAGGATGGCCTGGCCCACTCCGGGATGCGTTCCCCCCCCCCGCCCACCGCCCCGGCTCTGTCCACCCTCTGGCAGGTCCTCTGACTTAGCCTTCGTGAACTGAACTTTCTCCATCACGAGAAAGGAGCACGCTTCCCGACTCCTGACGGGCTGGCAGGGCTGCCAGGGAACCGTGCCAGGTGCAGTAAAGTTCCCTGGAAGGAAGACTCCGTGCCAAGGAATTCTGTAGCGTTAGGTTTCCCGGTGCCCAGGGCCGCCCCGGCAGGTGCTGCTTCCTTCTCCCTGGGTGGGACAGAGCGGTCCTGTCAGAGAGGGGTGGGGGGCACGGGCCCGCCTGGCCTTCCTTCACTGTCTCAGAGGGGATCTGAGCCCTCAGGCTGGGTCCCTAGAGCCAGCCACCTGCTCCCGGGAAGGAAGGCGAGCTGGCTGGCGCTGCTCCAGGGCCCTCGTGGGTTCCCCAGGCTTCCCACTGGCACCTTGGGCGGGAGGGGCCGCCTCTGTGTCTCTCTTTGCTTCCTCCGACACTTCCAGGAACTGGAGTGGAAAGTAGCTGCTTCTCCTGCTAGGTCAGGTGTGGAACAAAAGCAGCGCCCCCTGTAGGTGTGCGCCCTCGGGCAGCAGGGCTCCAGCTCAGCCCGCCACGGGTTAGAAGCCTTCTTACACTCAGCCGGGTCCCCACCCTGGTGTCTGGGTGCCGGGTGCTTCCCGGGAGGGGGCTTACGAGGCCCTGGAGTGACAGGTGATGCCGGCCTCCCGCGGGCAGGCCTGCACTTCGAGGTGCATCTGCCGCCCATCCACTCGTTCAGCAAATTCACTGAGTGTCTTCAGAACGTTCCAGGCTTGGTTCTAGAGGCTGAGCATATGCTGAGTGGATGAATCGGATAAAATCCCGGGGGGTGGGGCAGACAGTAAAGGAAAGAAAGCAGGGAAGTGTGTGTGTTAGAAATAAGCGCTATGGAGAAATAAAGCAGGAAGGGGGCGGGGCCCGGGGGGGGGGGGGGCTCACTTGGAACAGTGCCCGGGAGGACCCAACGGAAAAGGGGACACCCGTGGAGCCCCGAGGAAGGGAGGGAGGCTGGCTGTGTCTGGGGGAGGCTTCCAGGCAGGCAGGGCAGGGGGCATGAGGGGCGGGGGCGGGAGCTGAGGTCAGAAGGGTGTGGTGGCCCTCCTGGCCGGCGCGAGGACCACTCTTGGTGGGACGGGGGGTCTAGAGAAGGAGCATGGGCCACTCTGGCCACGGTGTCCTGTGAAGCCCGGATACCAGCAGGGGCGCCTGCATCCCGGGGGCCAGGCGAGAGGAGGGCTGGACCTGCCGTGGCAGTTGGGGTGAGAGGGCTGGGTTCCGGGTACGTTTAAAGGTGGAGGCCTGCAGTATCCAAGGGCATGGCGCTGGGTGCTCTGACGGTATTCTGTAACGGGCAGAAGGGTATTCCTAGCCGTGCGCCTCAGGGCCACCCTGGGCTGGCGCCCCCGCGGTGCGGTGGGCAGGCAAGCATGCCGGTCTTCCTGGAAAGCCTGGGCTTGAGAGCCCAGGGAAGACGTTTCCCTGGTGCCCATGCCTGTCCTGGGGATGAAGAGGTCGGGGTTCAGGAGGTCCCCGAGAAGCCAGCCTCCGGGAGGCTGGGCCCTGGATGGTCGCAGCCCCTCCGTGGGGCACCTGAGGACGTCCGGAGATGCTGCCGGCTTTGGCCCTTCTGTTGGCTCCTTCCGTCTCACCCCCGTGCCCAGGAAGGCAGCTCCAGGTAGGCCCTGACGGAAGGGTTTCCCGCGGTGGAGACGGTGCAGGAGGGTCTCGTGTGCACAGCTGCTTCCCCACACGTGTGCTCTGCTGTCTGTTTGCAGGCGTCCTGTGGGCTTGGTCGGGGCGAAGTTCCTGTTTCTGTGCCAGGCCTGGCCGTTGTCGGCCCATATCTCCTCCCCGCTCGGAGCCGTCCCACTCTGGGTCCAGCACGGTGACCCAGGGATCTCGTGGTGTCAGGCAGCTGGCCGCGAAGGGCTGCGGTGTCAGGGTGTCTGCCCCGTTCCCAGGGAGAGTGAGAAACCGGGCTTGTGCTCTCCCACTCGGAGCCGACTCCGGGGCTCAGGGTGTGTCTGTGTGGAAGGGAACAGGCGCTGGGCCCTGTTCACACTCGTGGACTAGGGGACCAGGCTCCCTCCTGCAGCTTCAGGGACTGGTCTGCGCCCCTCCCCCCGATCTCCTACTGCGCCCCCCCAGCCAGCAGGTGATGAACGCATCCGCAGGGTAGTTGGAGCAGTGATCGGGGACGTAGGGAGGAGGTGAGGGTCTCGGGCAGCAGGGGGGGAGGAGGGGCTCAGTGGAATCAGTGCCGTCTGCCGGCTGTGCCTGCTGCCTGGTCCTCGCTCGGGCTGGACTTCTGTCCTCCCACGTCCTTCCTGAGGATTCCAAGGCAGAGGAGTGGCCTCAGGTCCCTGAAGGGGGGCAGGCTTGTGCCAGGTGCTGGCTGGACGGTTGGCCCCCTCTGGCAGGCATTTCCGGGGGCGGGGCCGTGGTCCTCCCAGGAGCTGGGCCTTGGCTGCTAGAAGCCTCACCGGTGCCGGGTTTGGAGAGCTCTGCAGTTCTTAGGCGCCACCCATCGCCCACCCAGGGACGGGTCAGCACCTGCCCTCCCAGCACCCAGTGCACAAAAGGGTGTGTGCGTGTGCGTTTCTCTTTAATTGAGGTGAAAATCACCAACGACGAAACTAACCATTTTAAAGTGCACAGTTCAGTGCGTTTAGAACCTTCACAATGTTGTGCGACCACCCGCTCTTTCTAGTTCTAAAACATTTTCGTCCCCAGATGGGAACCCACTGGCAGTCACTCCCCACTCCATCCCCCAGCCCTGGGCACCCGCCCGTTCTGGACATTGCCCAGCCAGAAGGGTGACCCTGGGACCCCATTCTCTGGACTCACCCAGGCCTCCAGCCCCACTGACGCGTGTGCCTCTGTCTTTGCAGCTCCCGACTACAGGTCCGTCCTGAGCATTAGTGACGAGGCAGCCAGGGTGCGGGCCCTGAACGAGCACCTGAGCACGCGTAGCTATGTCCAGGGCTTCTCCCTGTCCCAGGCGGACGTGGACGCGTTCAGGCAGCTCTCAGGCCCTCCTGCCGACGCGCAGCTCTTCCACGTGGCTCGGTGGTTCAGGCACGTGGCCGCGATCCTGGGCAGCCCCCGCGCCCCAGCCCCGCCCTGTGGGCTCCAAGCAAGTGAGTAGCAGAGCGGCTCCCCGGCCGTGAAAACCTCCCCTCGAAGTTCTGTTCACACTCGTGGGCTAGGGGAGCCCACGAGTGTGACCTCCCTCTGAGGTCAGGGCCCTGAGGGTGCGAGGCGCCCACGGGGGAGCCCGCGGGGCTGGCGCTTGTCCCCGCACTCAAGCAAGCAGACTGGGGGGCCTGCCGGCGCCCCCCGAGGGGAGGTGAGGACAAAACGCCGAGAGGTCAGCCCCCAAGGATCACGACGCCGGCGGCTGCTGTAGCAGAGCCTCTGGGAGGGCGGAAGGCCTGTGCCCCTCTCAGGGCCGCCTTGGCCGTCAGCTCACTCCCGACCTGGCTCGGATTTGATTGGCTTCTTTTCCTTTATTCTTTCCCTAAGATTGCAGGGTGTGTGTCCACCAGATTTAGAATTATTGGATCTTAAGGAAGTATTCATGGACATGAACTCTTTGGAGACCAGAGAGAAGGCGTTTCTGGGCTTTGAGATAAGACCAGTCTTGCAGCTCTGGCCCCCACCTGTCGGTGTGATGTGTCTGGACCCTGTCATTTCAGGGGCGATTCTGGAAAGTCTCTGGGGCGCATGGTTCCTGGGTGGTCTCTCTCCTCCGGTGAATCGAGGTGCTTCTCCCATAATCGCCAGTGCCCTCAAGCGGCTCGGCCCCCCCGGGGGGGCTTCGAGCACGCACCCAAGCAGCGAGAGGGGTCCAGTGCCGTCTGAGTCATCCCTGCTGGGCTGGGCAGCCTGCGGGGCCTTTTCCAGATCCCTTCGGCTGGGACGTTTGGACCGTTTCCCAGCTTCTGCACCTCTGCCTGGTCTCTGCTGGGTCCCCCTCTGTAACGGGGCAGAGGTGGGATGTCGTTTCTCCAAGCGTGGGGTGTGTTTTGGTTTTCTCGGTGATCCTGCAGCAGACACCCCTTCCCCGGCATAGGTGGGAGCCTTGCTGTGTAGAGCGTCTCCTCCCCGTGCTTCCAGGCGGTGACCCAGGGGCGTCTGCGGTGGCAGGTGCTTCTCTCCCAGGGCTCAGTTGTCAGCTTGTCCCCCAGGTCCCCCCTCCCGAGGCACGGCCTCTGGGGGTGGAAGTCAGGGTGGGTTGGGGGCACGGCCTCGGCACGGCCTGTCTGGTGTTCCGTCCGGGGAACTTGTGGGGAGAGTGATGCAGACACACGTGAAGGAAAGGTGGGTCTCTGCCCTGCCAGTCGGGGGGCCTGCAGGTTCACCAGGGCGGTGAGGGAGGCACCTGGACAGCGCCAACAGGACTATTCACCTCCTTCCATTTCCAAGTCCCCCGTCACCAATGCCTCCCGGGGGCCGGCAGGGACCCTGAGTGGCCGGGGACGGCGGGTGGGCTGGTGCCCAGAACCCCCAGAGCCGGTGTCCTAGGCCGCGTCCTGGATGCCAGTGGCCGAGCGTCCGCCTCCCCGCATTGCTGACCCGTCTCAGACATCTCTCCAGCCTGTCCTGGGCGGGAGTGCCCCCTCTCCCAGCCCCTCGATCCACAGTGCCCCGCCGGCCTTCCCTCCATGTCCCACTCCTGCTCGAGACCCCCAGCTGGACATCTCAGCACCGACATGCCCACAACTGGCTTGTCACCGTCCTCTGCGCTGGCCCAGCCTAGGTCCCTGTGCCTCTTGCCGTGGCCACGGGCCTCAGCAGCCCCGGGGAGCCACTCAGACACAGGAGGTGGACCAGGGCTCTGCCTAAGCCCCTTCCCCACCTCTCTGTTCCTTGTCTCACCCCCTCCCCATCTTGTCGCCTCCTCTCTGCGGCCCCAGCAGGGAGGGTCCACTGTGCTCAGGGTTTCAGCCCTGCTGTGCTCTGTGTCTGGAGTGCCCCTCGCCCAGAGCGGGGCTCAGTCCAGACGGCTCCTCCTCCCGGGGCGCCCTCTGCCACTGGGCCCCCCTCACCCCCCTACCCGCCCTCCTGGGAAGGATCTTCAGGGCCTGCCCTTCACTGAAGAAGGCGTGTTAAGTCCCCCGGAGCGTGGGTCTGTCTGCGGCTGGGTGGGGTCTTCAGGGATGTGAACCTCTCTGCGGCCCCCCCTCCGAGGCTGAGGTGCGCGCTGCGCCCAGGGGACTGGGGACCTGGCTGGTGCATCTCCCTCCATCTCCCCTCGGCACCCTCCCTGCCTAGAGCCTCGTTCTCAGGGCGTCCCTGAGCGGCACGTGCAGGTTATGTTGTCAAAGGTCAGGAGTTTATTTCCCCACAGCAGCCACGTGCCTGGGGCAGAGCCAGGGCAGGACTGGGGGTGCTAGCGAGCAAAGGCATGCACAGTGTTTCGCACAAACCAGAGGAAGGGCAGCCGCCTCAGGAGTCTGTGTCGGGGTGGGGAGGGTGCTGTCAGTGCCGTTGTCGGGCAGGGAACCGCGGAGGGACTCTGGTGAAGCGTCCTTCTTGGTAAACCGAGGTAACCTCCCGATTTTCCCCTTTGGCAGATGGGGGTCGTGTGTGCTGGTTGCCTTGAACTGTCACCGGCTGTGTGGCTGTAGCCACGCTTCGGGGAGCAAGAAAACCCAGGTGTGACCCGGTGTCCTGGACAGTGTCCCGCTGGCCGGGCTCCCTGGCTGCACCCTCAGCTGTGTCCTGTCACTGCCGTCTTTTCAGATGAGCCTTCGTTCCCCCAGACCCCGAGCCCCCCACCCCGGCCCCTGGCTCAGGGCAAGCACGGTGGTCGTCAGGCTCACATCAGTGTGTGGGCAGCTCTCGCCGGCGTCCCCTGTTGTCCCAGGTGGCAGCTCTGTCTTTGTGTTGGGAGCCGCAGCATCTAAGCAAGGGGAGGGGTTGATGGAGTCATAAAGGGGCAGGTGGAGCGTCATCGAATCGTTTGCTGCGTTTACAGTGAACCCTTAGACCACGCCTGACCTCAGGAGGCATTCGAAGTGTCAGGGGGACTTGGGCTTGGCCACCTGGGGGTTTGCTGGCGCTCCCTGGGGTCAGGAGCTGCTGGATAGCACTGTCTGTCCCCCTCCCCGTCTGCCGCTCTCCGCCCGCCTGTACACATGTACACACACACACACAGCCACCTCCCACCCCCTTCACCGGTCAGTTACGTGCATCCTCTGGGTGGCACATGGCCAGGCCCAGGGCTGAGTGCTCCGTGACCCGCAGTAGGGAGCAGCAGGTGGTTGCCTGGTGGCCACGCTGGACGTGGATTCTGTGCCGGGAGGAGGGAGAATCGCTTTGCAGACACAGAGGCAGGGGTCGGGGTTGGGGGTGGTGCCGAGAGTGGGCACCTGTGCCCTCAGGTGTGCAGGCGGTGTGCAGCCCGCGCTGGCTCCAGGAGAGGGCTGCAGAGCACAGCTGGGTTCTGGGTGCAGGAGCAGTGCCTTGGGGGTAGCTGGAAGGTCACCAGATGCCCAGGGCCTGTGAAGACTCAGCTTGGTGGCTCTTTCCAGCCCAGGGACGGAGCTGCACCCCGCGAGGCTCTTGGGGCGCAGGCTGTGTAAGGCCTGCCCTTCACCCAGCGGGAGGCGTGTGCGCATGAGCAGCAGGGGCAGGGGGTGGGGCTGGAGGAGGAGGAGGTGGGGCTGCCTGGGGACTGTGATTGGAGAGGCTCAGCTCCGTGAGCCCCTGCCCTCAGCGTGGGGAGGACCCGGAGCTGCTCCCAAAGGCCTCCGGGGCCCATGTGGAGCCATGAGTGCCGGCATCAGCACCGTGTCCGGGAGCCTACATGTCGCCCGGGTCGGGGACAGGAACTGCGCGGGGAGCCGGCCACTGGCCCGCAGCTGTTTCCGTCCTGACCTGGCTTCTGCGCCCGGAGGTGGCCCACGTCCTGGGAAGCCTCCACGGAGCCCGTCCTCCTGAGGGGGTGGCCAGCTGCGTTGCGGTCCAGGCATGCGGCCGGCCCGTGTGCAGGGCCCGCGCCTCCCATGCGCCCTCAGGCTGGGTCGGGCGCCTCATGCTTGGAGCCGGTGGAGGGGAGGCTGGGTGTAATGGGCCTTCTCCCGCCTCGTGGGGTTGGGACTGTGGGATGCGCCGCCACTCAGACGTGAGCAGGCAGAGAGGGGGCACGAGCGCTGGACGCGGGTGACGCTCTCAGGGTCCACTTTCCCCTTGTCCCGCGGGTGACCCAGCTGTGCTCTCTCCCTGGCAGGCAGAGGCCGGCGCACGCAGCCCCCGTGGTCTCCTCCAGCCGGGTCCGAGCCGTGCCAGCTCCGCCTGTACAACAGCCTGACCCGGAGGAAGGTAGGGGGGCCCTGGGGGCAGGGGCGGCAGCTCTTAGCTAGCGAGCGTCCTCTGTGTGGCCGGGGCAGGACTGTCCTCAGAAGCACACCTGGCACGCCTCAAGGGGCCTGCCCGTTGGCGCTCTGGCTCTGGCTGTGCTCGGGGCCAGGCCCGAGTGTAGATGCTCGTGGCTGCTCTGAGCCAGGCCAGGAGCCAGCGTGCTCCTGCAGGGGACCTGTGGTGGCAGCTGGTGTCCCAGTGCCAGCCAAGCAGGGCCTGTTGCTGTCGGGGGCCCAGCAGGTGTGGGGACGAGGGCAGTATCGGCCGGGGCCGCTCAGCAGGGCCAGTGGCTCCAGAGATTTTGAAAAGGACTCCGGCCGAGGGCTCATTGGATTGCCATCAGCAAGCACCCTGAGCAGATGGGAGACGGGGTCCCCCTCATGGACTTAATTGGTGACAGCGGCCCCTGAACTGGTCTGAGACCATCGGGCCGTCGGCGGGAGGCCTTGCTCTCTAGGCCGGCTCCTCTGGGATTGCGGACCCCTGGGCATCTGAAAGGAAGCATCCCTGCTCACGTCGTTCCTGGGGGCAAAGGCAGGGCAGTCCCTGCGCTCAGCACGGGGCCTGGCTCGCAGCAGTGCTTGATGAACGGAAGAGCAGCAAAAGCAGGAGCGTCCGTCTCCTTGACCCCCCAGCTTGCGTCCCCGAGTGGGATCCCAGGGAGGAAGGGGCCTGCCCCCATCCCAGATGACTGTGACTTTCCCGTAAAACTAAGCAGTCCTCGTGGAATGCGTATGAACCATTTGTCTGGCGGCTGTGGTCCTGCACGGTGCCTCCTGCATCCTTTGTGACGGTCATTCCTTCATTTCCAACCAAGGACGTGTTTGTACCTCAAGACGGGCGGAGGGTGACGTGGTACTGCTGCGGGCCCACCGTCTACGACGCCTCCCACATGGGGCACGCCAGGTAGGGCTGCACCTGGGCGCCGCCACAGGGACCCAAGCTCTGAGAGGAAGCTCAACGCCCAGCCTTTCCTCTTATTTTTAAGAAGAAAAATTTTCATTCCGTCAGTACTACATATTCACTGTAGAAAAACTAGAGAGACCAGATAACCAGAAAGAAAAAGCCCACAGCCCCGATGTTACCACCCTCCTGGACTCTGACCAGATACTTTCCTCCGTGTGCCTGGCAGTTCCTCCTCATCCGAGGCTCTGGAGGTGGGGGTGGGGGTGCCCGGTGCTGGGATCCCTGACACCCACACCCGTGGCCAGTGTGCAGTGCCCCCTGCCCCGCAGTCACGAGTGGGGTGGGCATGAGAGTAGCGGTTTTGGGGGGAAATGCGGGGGATCTTTTTCCTTGTATGTGTTTTAACTGCAGAGCCAAGGTGATGTGCGTGATGTGCTGTGTGGAAAGGTTTGTCTTTTTATTGTCCTAGGTCCTACATCTCCTTCGATATCTTGAGAAGAGTGCTGAGAGATTACTTCAAATTTGACGTCTTTTATTGCATGAACATCACAGACATTGATGATAAGGTAAAGGGAGTTTTCAAGGTTAAATTTTAAATACAGTGGACGGTACGAGGGAAGAAATGACTTTGGGTAAGTTAATAAAGTAACGTGGGCTTGAGTGCCCTCAGCCCAACACATGCTGTTTGAATCCCCTCTGGGACTTGTATCACGGTTTATGCAGATGATGATGTCCTGTGTTCAGCTGTTTGGATGCTGTTGGGAAACCTGGGGAAATGTAATAACACCTGGTGCTCCAGGGAAGGCGCGTGCTATAGTGTCTGGCGCTGCGGGGAGGCCGGGCCTGGCTCAACATGTTCGGACAGTTCCAGCGTCGGTGGCGGGGCAGTGTGTGTGGGTGTGAGCTCAGGCACCGCCCGGCACTCTGCACAGGGACCCAGCAGGTGCCGAGCTGACCCCATTTCCCTCCTCTGCTCCCAGATCATCAAGAGGGCCCGGCAGAACTACTTGTTTGAGCAGTACCGGGAGAAGCAGCCCCAGGCAGTGCAGCTCCTGGAGGACGTGCACGCTGCCCTGCAGGTGGGCCCCCGGCCGCTCCTGGGTCCCTACGTCCCCACGTCCCCACGTCCCCGTCCCAAGCGCAGGGGTTGTCCTCAGCGCGCTTCATAACGTGTAGGGTCATGATGTCTCGGTCGCAGTGCTCCCCTGGCCCACGGGGAAAGCCGCCAGGACGGACGCACACGGGTGGGGCGGGGGGTGGGGGTGGGTGACCGTTGCTGCCGCTTACGGGAGAACCTCAGAACCGGTTGCGGCGATCTGCGCCGACTTGTGAATCTTCCACGTGGAGCTCACGAGCAGATGACACGCGTGTGACCAAGACGCAGAAGCTGTGCTAAGCTTCTCAAATGGGTGGTGCTGGAAATTTCTGGAATTATTTGAAGAAATTAGTTCTTTCCAATTTAATATTTTTGTTTTGAATAAACAGTATTACAACTGATGGTGTCAGACAGTGAGGTCAGGAAAAGGCATTTTTTTCTTTTCCATAATTGTTATCTTTACTAATTGCAGTAACGATTGTTGTTGTGCTTTTCATGTATCTCTGGAAGAAAAATGTAGGAATAAAATTAGGGCTTAGCAATCCTCTAGGCGGACGAGGGGGGCCCACTGGGCGGTGGTGCCTTCGTGGTGGCAGGTGACACCCGCGTGGCCCCGGGCACAGCCTTAGGACGCCGCCACGCCCGGCTCACTCAGACGAGGCAGCGCAGGACAGCCTGGGCCGCAGGCCAGGGTCCCTCTGGGGTGACACTCCACAGACACAGACCTCTGGGTCGCCACGGGCAGTGGGCAGAACTGGCCTCGTGCGTGGAGTCACCTCTGCACACGGGGTTCTGCTGAGCGGGCGTAACAGCTGTGGCCTCTCCTCACGCTCGCAGCCGTTTTCAGCAAAGTTACGCGAGACCTCGGATCCCGACAAGAGGCAGATGCTGGAGCGCCTGGAGCGCGCCGTGAGGCTGGCGGCGGAGCCGCTGGAGGAGCCGGCGCGGCGCGGCCTGGCGGGGGAGGAGCTGGACGGCCGCGTGCAGGTGAGGCTGAGGTGGGTCCCGCCGGCCCCTCGCCTTTGCCCCGCTGCCTTCAGGGAAACAGCAGGCGCTCTCGGGGCGGAGCGGGCTCCTCAAGGTGTTTCCCACTCGCCGGGGACTCTGTCCAGCGTTGGCACTGGCAGCACCTGGGGCAGGCGGAGCGACAGATGCCGGTGGGCCTGAGCTCCGGGGCCGCGGGGACCCGCTGGGCTTGAGCCTTCCCCGCGGCGGCCTTCTGCCCCTGAGGGCGGGCTCCGGCTGCCCGGCCTTCCTCCGGTCCCGACGGCCCTTCTCCTCTGCGCCGGCGCCCCCTGCTGGCCGCTTGCAGAACCGCGGGAAGGACGCAGCCAGGGAGGCTGCGGCCGAGGGCGCGGACGTGTAAGGGGGTGGCCGCCTGCAGGGCCCCCCTCTTCTGGGGCCTCGCGGGGCAGGATGCTTGGTGTGTTTGTCCTGAGCTTCGTGAGGAGTCAGGCGCACGGGGTCTTGGGGACGAGGGCTATCCCGCTGGCGTGCTTCTGAGACGGGCCACACGAGGTCCCGCCCTCCCTGCAGTGGACGCCTCGGGCCCAGCCGTTTATTTCTTCTCCTGAGAAGCTGGTTACGTTTCCGTGTTACCAGCAGTGACGCTGGGAATTCTCTTCCCAACGATTCCAGTGAGGTCCTTTTTGTTAAAATTGTGGTAAAGTACGCATAACATACAGTTCACCACTTGAACCATTTTTAAGTACATGTGTTCACATGGTTGCGTAAACGTCACCACCGTCCATCTCCAGAAGTTCTTTCATCTTCCGAAACGGATGCTCTGTCCCCATGGAACGCTCACTCCCCTCCCCTCCCCCAGCCTGGGCCCCACGTCTGCTTCCTGCCCCCATGAATCTGGCTCCTCCAGGGACCTCACACAAGTGGGGTCACACCGTGTTTGTCCTTTTGTGACTGGCTTATTTCACTCGGCAAACTGTCCTCGAGGTTCAGCCACGCTGTAGCCTGTGTCAGAATGTCCTCTCCTTGAGACTGAGTACTGTTCCGTGATGTGGGTGGACCACGTTTTGTGTGTCCTGTCATCCTTTGATGAACGTTTGCGTTCTCTTGTGAATCATGCTGCTATAAACATGGGTGTGCAAGTATCTGTTCGAGTCCCTGCTTTTAATTCTTCTGTGGGTATACCCCCAAAAGCAGGTTGTACGCCAGCTCAACTTTTAATATTCTGAGGCACTGCCGTGCTGTTTTCCATAGTGCACAGGGGTTCCAGTGTCTTCACAACCTTGTCAACCCCTGTGCTTTTCTGTTTTCCTGACTTTGCAGGACATTTGGTCCATGCCAAGAGGTCCTTGAAATTTGGTCCCATCCAAAACGTCCATGGTTATATCTGGTCCATGCCAAATGGTTTTAGATAGGACCACACTTCAAAGGCTTTTTGGTGTGGACCAAACGTCTTATGGACCACATGTCTTACATGTAAATGTATCCTCCTACTAACATGCTGCCAGTGTCCTGTTAATTTGCCTATACACCAGCACTTTGTGTTGCTGGATTCGTTCCTTTTTATCAATGGAACGTATACTGTAAAGTGGTAATTACTGTGGTTTGAACTTGCATTTCTCCAGCCTCTCCTGAGACTGAGTATCTTTTCACATGTTCACTTGCTGGCTATAATTCTGCACATGCCTCTTCTGCCCCGTTTTCCACTGGGCTGTTTGTCTTCTTACTGGTTTGTAAGCATCCTTAGGTTTTCCCTAGACACTAATCCTTTCTCATTTAAATGTGTTGCAAGCACCTTCTCCTAATTTGTGGCTCTTCTTTTCACTTCCTTTTAATAACAGAGGGTCTTAGTTCTAATGTATTCAACTTTATCTGTTTTCCCTTTTATACTTGGCAGTTTTGTGTCTTAAGAAATCTTTCTTGCCCTGAAACGTGAATATATTCCTCAGTATTTTCTTCTGAGGATTTTAAAGTTGTACAATTCACATTTAAGTCTTTGATCCCCCAGAATTAGTTTTTGTAAGTCATGTGAGTAGAGATCCAATCCCCTCTCCCCCGCACAGATACGGGAGGCCCCCCTTTCCTCAGCCCCTTTCTGTCGTGTGTCGTGTCTCAGTTCTGTTCCATAGGTCAGGTTAGCCACTGTGTGAGTCTCACTGCGTCTGTCACCAATGCCTGGAGAGGTAGGAAGCCTCACCTTGTTTTTGTTCTCCAGGTATAGTTTTCTTTTTTAAATATTTATTTATTTAATTTATTTTTGGCTGCGTCGGGTCTTAGGTGCAGCACGCGGGATCTTTCGTTGCCGCACGTGGGCTTCTCTAGCTGTGGCATGCTGGTTTTCTCTCTCTAGTTGTGGCGCGCTGGCTCCTGGGTGTGTGGGCTCAGTAGTTGTGGCTCGCGGGCTTAGTTGCCCTGTGGCATGTGGGATCTTACTTCCCTGACCAGGGATTGAACCCACATCCCCTACGTTGTAAGGCGGATTCTTTACCGCTGGACTGTCAGGGAAGTCCCTCCAGGTATGTTTTGAATGCTCCTTGCTTGTTGAGTCCCATACAAGATACTGCTGGGGCTTTATTTATTTATTTATTTATTTACTTATGGCCGTGTTGGGTCTTCGTTGCTGTGCGTGGGCTTTCTCTAGTTGCGGTGAGAGGGGGCTGCTCTTCATCGCAGTGCGCAGGCTTCTCATTGCGGTGGCTTGTCTTGTTGCGGAGCATGGGCTCTAGGCACGTGGGCTTCGTAATTGTGGCACATGGGCAAAGTAGTGTGGCTCGCGGGCTCTAGAACTCAGGCTCAGTAGTTGTGGCGCACGGGCTTAGTTGCTCCGGGGCATGTGGGATCTTCCCAGACCAGGGCTCGAACCCACGTCCCCTGCATTGGCAGGCGGATTCTCAACCACTGTGCCACCAGGGAAGCCCTTCAATATTATGTATTGAAGGATCATTTCAGAGCTCCACCTTTGAATGTGTTGATCCTCTCTATTCTATTTCAAAAAAAATTTTTTTAAAGAGTTTATCGTTTTAGAGCAGTTTTAGGTTCACAGCAAAACAGGTTTTGTGTTTTGATAAATAAAGGTTTCCTGTGTACCCCCCACCCCACCCCCATACACACAGAGCCACGCCCACTGTCAGCATCCCCCACCAGAGCCGTATGTTTGTTACAACTGAGGAAACTACACTGACACGTTGTCATCACCCACACAATAGTTTATATTAGGGTTCTGTCTTGGTGTTGTACATTCTGTGGGTTTGGACAAATGTATAGTGATACGTATCTGCCCTTAGAGTCTTCCACACAGTAGTTTCCCTGCCCTAAAAATCCTCTGTGCTTCGCCTGTTCATCCCTCCTTCACCCCAACACCTGGTAACCACTGATCCTTTTACCGTCTTCATAGTTTTGCCTTTTCTGAATATCACAGAGTCAGAATCATGCAGTATGTGCCCTGCTCAGATTGGCTTCTTTCACTTAGTAATGTGAATTTAAGGTTCCTCTGTGTCTTTTCATGGCCTGATAGCTCACTTCTCTGTAGCACTGAAGGTTAGTTCATTGTCTGGACGGACCACAGTGTATTTACGCACCCACCCACTGAAGGGCATCTTGGCTGCTGCCAAGTTTTAGCAATTAGGCATAAAGCTTCTGTAAACATCCATGTGCAGGTTTTTGTGTGGACACAAGTTTTCACCTCTTTTGGGTAAATACCAAGGAGCGTAACTGCTGGATCATGTGGTGAGAGTAGGTTTAATTTTTTTTTTTTTGCGGTACGCGGGCCTCTCACTGCTGTGGCCTCTCCCGTTGCGGAGCACAGGCTCCGGACGCACAGGCTCAGCGGCCATGGCTCCCGGGCCCAGCCGCTCCGCGGCACGTGGGATCCTCCCATACCAGGGCACGAACCCGTGTCCCCTGCATCAGCAGGCGGACCCTCAACCACTGCGCCACCAGGGAAGCCCCTAATTGTTGAAGAAACCGCCAAACTGTCCCCCAAAGTGGCTGCACCATTTTCCACTCCCACCAGTGGCGGATGAGAGTTCCCATTGGTCCAGATCCTCACTAGCCTTTGGTGTTGTCAGTGTTGCAGATTTTGGCCATTGAAATAATGTACGGAGTATCTCGTTGTTTTAATTTGCATTTCCCTGATGCCACACGATGTGGAGCATCTCTTGATATTTATTTGCCATCTTTATGTCTTCTTTGGTGAGGTGTCTGTTAATGTCTTTGGACCTTTTTTTAATCAGGTTGTTTTCTTATTGAGTTTTGAGAGCTCTTTGTATATTTTGGATAACAGTCCTTTATCAGATGTGTCTTTTGCAAATATTTTCTTCCGGTATGTGGCTTGTCTTTTCATTCTCTTGACAGTGTCTTTCCCAGAGCAGAAGTTTTTAATGGTGATAAAGTCCAGCTTATCAATTCTTTTCTTTCATGGATCATGCATTTGGTATTGTGTGGAAGAAGTCATTGTCAAAGCCAAGGTCATCTTTGAAGTGCGTAAGGTCTTGGTCTAGATTCATGGTTTTTGCATGTGATGCCCAGTTGTTAAGCACAGTTTGTTGGAAACTGTTTTTGCTCCTTTGCTCCTTTGTCAAAGAACAGTTGGCTATATTTATATGAGTCTGTTTCTGGACTCTGTTCTGTTCCATTGCTCTGTTTGTCTGTTCTTTCACCAATGCCACACTGTCTTGATTACGGTAGCTTTACAGTAAGTCTTGAAGTCGGGGAGTGTCAGTCCTCCACCTTTGTTCTCCTTCAATATTGTGTTGGCTATTCTGGGTCTTTTGCCTCCTCTCCATATACACTTTTTTTAAAAAAATATTTATCTATTTATTTATTTGGCTGCGCCGGGTCTTGGACGTGGCATGTATGATCTTTTAGGTGCGGCATGCATGTGGGATCTAGTTCCCCAGCCAGGAATCAAACCCGGGCCCCCTGCGTTGGGAGCGTGGAGTCTTAGCCACTGGACCACCAGGGAAGTCCCTCCATGTACACTTTAGAATCAGTTTGTCAATATCCATAAAATAACTCGATAGGAT